CTGCCTTTTGCATCTGTAAGACAGGGGGCAATAATATCTACCGCACTGGGATAGTTGGGAAAATGAGATGAGATCGTGCATGTCAAGTTTCAGCGTCTGGTACACAGTGAGGACTTCCCTGTCACAGCACAGGGATAAGGAGACAAAGGAGCAGGTAAGGCTGACTTGGCTCTGTCACTCACTCACTAGGTGACTTTGGGTCCCCGTCTGCAAAATCCTCAACTGTAAAATGCATAGTAATAAGATCTATACTCTGCCCAGTTACTGTGAAGAGCAAATGAGGTGGTCTATTTAGAATTAGTTCATTCTTTTTAACTGTGATATCATATTTCATTATTCCTCTACTGATGGACATTTAGTTTGTTTTAAATATGACAAGCTATCATGGATCTTTCTGTACAAGTCTTCTCCTAGTGCAACTATTTCTCTAAGGCAGATAATTAGAAGTGGAATTATGGGGTATAGGGTATAGATATTGTTAGTTTAAATAGATATTGCCAAATTGGTCCACAAAGTGGTTGTGCCAATTTATACTCTTACCAGTAGCATATGACAGTATCAATTCCTCACACCCAAATTTCTCACTATTAATATGATCCATTTTGGGACTTTTGCCAATGTAATTGATTTTTTTTAAGTTTATTTTTTTTAGGGCGCCTGGGTGGCTCAGTTGGTTAAGCGACTGCCTTCGGCTCAGGTCATGATCCTGGAGTCCCGGGATCGAGTCCCGCATCGGGCTCCCTGCTCAGCAGGGAGTCTGCTTCTCCCTCTGACCCTCCTCCCTCTCATGCTCTCTGTCTCTCATTCTCTCTCTCAAAATAAATAAATAAATAAAATCTTTAAAAAAAAAAAAGTTTATTTTTTTTAGTAATCACTACCCCCAATGTGGGACTTGAACTCATGACCCCAAGATTAAGAGTTGCATGCTCCTCTGACTGAGCCAGCCAGGCACCCCGCCAATGTAATTGTTTAAAAAAGTTATATAATTGGGGCGCCAGGGTGGCTCAGTGGGTTAAGTATCCAACTCTTGATTTCGGTTCAGGTAATGGTCTCAGGGTTGTGAGATCGAGCCCACTGAGTGACCCTCAGCACTCAGCAGGGAGTCTTCTAGAAGATTCACTCTCTTCCCCTCCCTTTCCCCTCCCCACTTGTGCACATACTCTCTTTCTCTCTCAGTCTTTCCCAAATAAATACATCTTCCTCTCTCTCTCTCTAAAATAAATAAATCTTTAAAAAAAAATTAAAAAGTTAAAAAAAATTAAAAAGTTACATCATCCTTAATTGGATTCTTCTTTCTTTCTTTATTGGGGGTCAGGGCAGAGGAAGATGGAGAGAGAGACTCTTAAGCAGGCTCCACACCTGGTGCAGAGCCCAACACAAGGCTCAATCTCACAACCCTGAGATCATGACCTGAGCAGAACTCAAGAGTTGGACACTTAACCATCTGAGCCACCCAGATGCCCCGCATTCTTCTCATTAGTAGGGTTGAGCAGCATTTTTTCATATGTGTTGAGCATTTGTATTTCTTTTTTTGTAAATTACATTTTCCTCATTTGTTTAAAGATGTGCCTATATATTCTGGATATCAGCCTCATCTCTATTTTATATATAGTTGATTCTCATTATTCACAGTAGTTATATTCTATAAAGTTACCACAAACACTGAATTAATGAATGCTGAATCATTGCTCCTAGGGAAAATACAAGGTTAGGTGCCTGTGAGCCTCTGGTCACAACAGTTTTGTCAACTGACCAATACATAAATTTGTTGTTTGTGTGTTTTGTTTGAAGACACATTGTTTAGTATATATTATTGACTCATTAACATTGAACTCATGACCAACAGCACTATAACTCCTGCCTGAACAAAGTTTATCTACCACATGTATTTTCTCCACAGGGTACATCACAGCCTTCTTATGCTTAGGAACAGGAGAGAATACTTCAGCACTACATTTGGGGGCCACTTTATTTTTTTTATTTTTTTATTTTAAAGATTTTATTTATTTATTTGAGAGAGAGAGAATGAGAGAGAGCACATGAGAGGGGGGGGGGTCAGAGGGAGAGGCAGCCCCCCGCCGAGCAGGGAGCCCGATGCGGGACTCGATCCAGGGACTCCAGGATCATGACCTGAGCCGAAGGCAGTCGCCTAACCAACTGAGCCACCCAGGCGCCCCTGGGGGCCACTTTAAACAGTGAAGTTAACAAGAATCACAAAAATGCAAAAAACATGGCACTAAATAGACACTTGTTTACAGTATGAGAGCTGAAAACAAGAAGGCAGAGCGTAGACTTGTTTAACCTCAGCTGGGAATGTGTGTGATAGGGCAACTCAAATTTTTTGCTGCTCTTCACATATCCACATCCACAAATGACCTCAAAAGCACTGCAAGTATTGATTTTGAGGTTACAGATAAATTTTAGCAAGCAGACAAACTTGCAAATATCAACTCTGTGAATAATGAGGATTGTTTACATGTGTGTATTTATCTTTATATTTATAATATCCTTGCAGTCCATCATTTGTTTTATAACATTATGTATGATGTCTTTTTTTTTTTTTTGAGAGAGAGAGAGGGAGAGAGAGAGGGAGTGGGGTGGGGAGGGACAGAGGGAGAGAAAGAATATTAAGCAGGCTCCCCACTGAGCACTGAGGCCCACTCAGGCTTCATCCCATGACCCTGAGATCATGACCTGAACTGAAATCAAGAGTTGGACACTTAACTGACTGAGCTACCCAGGCACCCCTGTTTTATTTTTATTTCATGACTATTTGCATTTGATGAAGGCAAATTTGCCAATTTTTCCCCTTATTTAAAAAAATTAGATGTTTTATTCAAATTCCTGTATTTTAATTAATCTGTTTCTAATCTCTCTCTCTTTTTTTTAAGATTTTATTTATTTACTTGACAGAGAGAGAGAGAGCGCGAGAGTGAGCACACAAGCAAGGGGAAGCAGCAGAGGGAGAGAGAGAAGCAGGCTTTCCGCTGAGCGGGGAGCCCGACACGGGGCTCCATCCCAGGACCCCAGGATCATGACCTGAGCCGAAGGTAGACGCTTAATGACTGAGCCACCCAGGCGCCCCTAGACTCTCTTTTTGTTCTAGGGTTTTTCAACATTGGCACTATTTACATTTTGGGTTGGATAATTCTTTGCTGTGGAGCGTTGTCTTCTGTATTGTAGGATGTTTAACAGCATCCCTGGCCTCTACCAAGAGATACCTTCCCCAGTTGCGACAACCAAAAATGTCTCCAGACATTGCCAAATGTCCCTGCGTCGGGGGCGGGGGGGGAGCAAATGTACACCCCACTGAGGACCACTGCATTGCCCAATTCTATCTGTCAATTGCTGTGCCAATATCAAGCGGACAATTCTTAAATCTTTTAAAAATGTCTGTTATCTGATAGGGCAAGTCCCTCCTCTTTCTTTTCCAAAATTGTTTTGCACTTTTACTCTTCTAGATTAATTTTAGAACTAATTTGACAAATTCCATGAAATATTTTATTGGGAATTTTATTTATAAATTAATTTGGGGAGAACTGGTATGTCTATGATATTGAGCCTTCTATCCACATACATGCCATATCTCATGAGATAGGTTCTTTTATGCATTTCATTAACTTCTGTGATTTTTCTCTATAAAAGTTGAAGCCTGGGCTGTGTCTGGTCTCCCTGGGCTGTCTGGATCTATGCTCAGGCTTTCTTCCTGTGCCCTAGCCACTGCTTCCCAGGTTCCTGACTACAAGGCGAGTCAGAAGAATCCTTCTACCCTCAAAAGCCATCCCTCCTGCTTTTCAGTGCTCAGCAACAGCAGGGTTATTTATTGTCACCAGGATCTGAGAAGGGTCCTTGTGCTGTTGTTTGTTGCACAAGTTGATGTCAAGTTGGAAAACTAATGTTTTACAACTAAAAAAGCCCTCTCTGTCTTTCTCTGAAATTTAGCTACTACCCACCTTTCTACTGCTCTAATTGCCACCCTGCTTCTTCTGCCTAGCTTAAATTCCTGCCTGGCCTTATTTCCTATGGTGCCCCAGGGTGAATGACCCAGTCACTGCATAGGTCTTACTCAGAACTGCCCACACACTTTTACCCATTATTTATCCTATCCTGGAATGCCTTTTCTCCTTTTACTCAACAAACTCCTTTGCTAATTCAGCACTCATTCAAATCTACTCTCCTTTTTGAAATTCTCCTTACATTTGGTATTAAACAATTTTGTACTTAATTATATATCTGCACAGACCCAGTGTGGTAGGCAGAAGAAAGAACATGATTCAAGGTAGAAAAACAGAGGCTGAATTTTAGCCTTACAATTTATTAGCTGTGACACTTTGAGTAAGTCATCTAATCTGTCTTAGCCTTGATTTTTCTCATCTGTAAAATGGAGATAATAATACTCATTTTGAGTGTTGTCTACCAAACTACAGAGAAAGATCACTTGCCAGTAGGCACTTGTATCTTTCACAGTACCTTGCAGAGTTTGTAAAAATGTGTGCAATAAAGACTTATGAAAAAGCAACCCTTTTGGCAGGGGGGCCTTTTGAGGCTCTAGAGGGCCTATGCTTATTAATAATGAAGGAGGGGGTAGTCCAGCAATTCAGATTGTTGAAAAATAACTGTACTTAATTTCTGAACAAATTGCTGGAGAGCAGCAAATTTTGCTTATTAATTCTATTTTGTTTGGGATAATATTAAAATCAGTTTTCATTCCCTAAGGCTAGAATTTGAAAACACTGTCTGAGAAAATCCACAAGATGGATTAATCTTTGTGTGACAAATAGAATGCTGACTATGTCAAGTTATTTTGATAAACACTGAGCACATGAAGAGTTTGGGATGAAAATGTTCAGATCATGAACCTCCTAAAAAAATGTGCTGCTGCTTCGGAATATTCTAGGAACTCTCGTGAGGCAAATGTTCCAAACATCATCAAAATATCCCCCCCTCTGTAAAGGTGCTAGCCTGTTTACTACAAGGAAATCATGAGGTCTGTTTCTTACCTGGAGGCTGGAGGCTTAAGCCTGGGTCCAACTTCGTGTGGGGCTTAGAGCTGATGAACAGGTAGCAAAGCACGCAGGCGGTGACGATGAAGGCCAGGAGAACCACTGCTGCTATGGACAGGCCCACAAGGGCGCCAATGCTGGGGAGAGAAGACCAGAGGGTGCTGAGTGTCGGGAGGGGACTTTGGAGGCAACCCGTTAGACGTGAAGTGTTGTCGGTGTTATAGGCATAGGCTGCCTTCAACTTTTGTTCTGTCTCTACTTGCCTTAGGCCGTTTGGGCCTAAGCATGAGACACAGCATTAGCTGTGTGCCCAGGACTCACCACATATGTGACACGACTTGCGTCAGTGCCACCACATAATTGGGAATCAATTTGTGTTTCCCTTCCTGTTTTCTCCTTCCCTCCCTACTTTCTTCAACGTGCATCCCCCGCCCCCCATCCCCACCCCAGGGAGCTGGAGATGGTCTTAAAGAGCCCTCCCCATGATGCTGTTTCTTAAAGATCATGACACATAGTAGGCCTTAGCTAAAAACCAGCTGTCCTTCCAACCTCCTTCCAGGTAGTTTCCGACTCACCCTCCACTGGGTCATCACGCCAGTGTGGACTCCATGTTTAGAAGACCTCCCCACTGCTGTTCCCTCACCCTCCAACCTTGCCACCTCTGCCCCAAGTCAGGCCCTGGTCACCTGGTCTCCAGACGACTACCTCCTGGCTCATTTGGGAGTCACTGTCTTTCCTGCTTCATATGATTCCTCCCTATCATCTCCCCACATTAGAGTTTTACCTGTCCTTGAAGGCCCATCTCAAATGTCTCCTGACCTCAATAATGCTTTCCTTGGCCATCTTTCTTTCTCCTTTGCCCACCCATGCCAGGCTAATCCACCCAGGACACTTTCCTCAGGGCCTTTAGCACTTCCCTCTGAGTCAGGCAGCCCAATGTGGCAGGAAAGAGCAAAGGGCTTTGGAACCAAACCTACCTGGGTTAGAACCCAGATATGTAACAACTCACTCTGAGATCTTGATGAAGTTATTATACATTTTGAGCCTCAGCTTCTTTGTCTGAAAAGTGAAAATGGTCAAAACACAGTATTTCACAGAGGCACCTGGGTGGCTCTGTCAGTTAAGCGTCTGCCTTTGGCTCAGGTCATGATCCCAGAGTCCCTGCTCAGTGGGGAGTCCCCTTCTCCCTCTCCCTCTGCTGCTCCCCGCTGCTTGTGTGCGCTCTCTCTGTTAAGTAAATAAACTCTTAAAAAAAACCCCAAAACACAGTACTTCACAGGAGGTAGTAAGGATGACTAATATATGTAATATTCTTGACACATAGTAGGTGTTCAACATATTCCTCATGTGTTTCTTGAAGGCAGAACCAGACCATAAATAATCAGCTTTGTCCTCCCCTTGCAGAAGCCGTGGCACATAGTAAGCATTTAGTAAATATTACTGAGTACCTACTATGTGTCAGGCACTGTAAGATATTCTCCCAACAGTAGCGGATAGGTAAGTAGCAGGCTTTGTTTGTGTGCCCTTCCTGTCTATGACTTCTTCACCAGCTTTTCTGCCCACCCCTCGCCCTGACCCCACCCCCAGACTCTTGCCCTTGCCACTTCTGCCAGATTTTGCTCCCAGCTAGCTGGTGACTTATTTCCCAGGTAGTTGATAGCTAAGTTCCACTAAGCAGAATCACCTTAGAGCTTTGGAAAATCTGTCTTCCCATGGCTAAATAAATTATTGAACACCCCTGCAATGGAATAGTTTAGAGCCATTAAAAACATGTTTTCAAATAATATTTAAGATCAAGGATAGGGACGCCTGAGTGGCTCAGTTGGTTAAGCGTCTGCCTTTGGCTCAGGTCATGATCCCAGGGCGCTGGGATCGAATCCCACATCGGGCTCCTTGCTCAGCAGGGAGTCTGCCTCTCCCTCTTCCTGCTTCTCCCCCTGCTTGTGCGTGCTCTCTCTCTCAAATAAATAAAAATATTTAAAAAATAAAATAAAAAAAGATCAAGGATAAGTTCTGATGAGATAATGCTAAGTGAAAAGAGTAGGACATGATACTAAATATATAACATAATTCCAATTTAAATAAACATATACATAATTATACATATGTAAGGTTGGATAGAAATACACCAAAATGCTAACAGGCTGTCTCTGGTTGTAGTGCAGGCTGTGGATGTCCTGTCCATGTCCCATGGGGTCTTGTAATTGTAGAATATTCTGGCCAGAGTTTCAAATGCCAGCATCTATATCCCTTGGCCTGAGGGTTTTCTCTGGGCCCAGAACAGTCTCCATCTGTACATTGAGCAGGTGAGAAGTGCAGGAAAACTAATGCCTCCCTTCTCCCATCGACACAGAACCAATGATTGACACAGACTGTATGTGAATATCCAGTTTCCTGGCCCTCAGGTGGGATGACTCTGAGGTGTAATTTCTACATGGGCTGGCAGAGCTCAGTGGGCTTAAGTTCCAGTGACCCCAGTGGTGACCCACTATCATTTGCTCTTACCCTTCCCTGCCTCACTTTGCCACGCTCAACCCATGTTTTCTAGGATGGCTTTCCATAAAAACCACTTGCCCTCAAATCCTTGTTTCTAAGTCTTTTGGGGAATCCAAGCTAAGACACTGGATCTCCCATGATTCCTCTGTCCTTTCCACATTTTCCATATTGAGCATGCAGTACCTTTTAGTTCTTATAAGTACTTTAATCAAACATTATTTCCCCTTTTGAGATATGCTGTTTATAAGGCTATTATCTGGAAGACTTGGGCTCCAGTTGGGCCCCCACACTTTACATGGTACCTCTGTGGCTGCCTGGATGGAAAGGGCCCTCTAAAAAGAAGGTCCTTTGAGGAATGGGTGAGAGAGCTGGCAGGAGATATCCCAGATTAGCAGTCAGACAGGGAGCGGGCGCTGTCTCTGATGGTCTGTCTGGGGACAGAGGAATCAGGGCCCAAGGACAGAGCTGGAAACAACCGAGGCAGCTCCAAGGGGAAACATCTGTGCTTGGCCGAAGATGAACTTTAAATGATTAGAGTTGTCCCAGGTGAATGGACTGCCTTGAGAGGTGGTAAGTTTTCTATTATTGCACGGGTTTGTAAAAAATACCGGGATGAGGGGTGCCTGGGCGGCTCAGTCGTTAAGCGTCTGCCTTCAGCTCAGGTCATGATCCCAGGGTCCTGGGATCGAGCCCCGCATCGGGCTCCCTGCTCTGTGGGAAGCCTGCTTCTCCCTCTCCCACTCCCCCTGCTTGTGTTTCCTCTCTCGCTGTGTCTCTCTCTGTCAAATCAATGAATAAAAAATCTTTAAAAAAAAAAAAAAAGAATACCGGGATGAGTACACTTTTCAGTGAAGTTAGAGTTTCCTGCCCTGGGTGGGAAACTGAAGAGCTGCTAGCCTTTTAGGAGTTCACAGATCCATAACTCTCAGAGAGATAACACACTGTGACCCCTGGGAGAGAATTGGAGAGGCGGTCCAACATTTCTCCGTTAGGGCTTTTGAGTTAGGCTGTTCTAAGTTCAAATCTGGGTTCTGTCATATATAAACTGAAAAATCCTTCATCTCTTGATCTTCATTTTCTTCATTTGTAAAGGTTCCTATCTCACCAGGTGTCCCTAAAGATTAAATGAGGTGGTGTACACACAGTGCCTGACAACCGATTCTGCCCTGCAGCAAGGCTGCTGCCTTTTGGCTCACATCCTGGTAAAAAACAGGGCTGCTAATAGAGGGTGTTCGGAAAGTGGACCAGACATGTGATAGCACCAGCTGCTTCTCCACAGGGAGTCTTCACTTCCTGAGACACACTTTTAAAGACAGCAGTTCTCCTTGAGCACTACCCAAGGAAACAGTTGTTTACCTGGGGATCTTATATTTTTAAGGACCAACTTTCATGAAAAAGGCCAAATGGAGTTGAGAGCAAAACAAGGTCTCCACCCTGCAATGGAGCACTCTAGAAGGGTTGTTTTAGGGTTTAAGCTACATTGATTACCTAGATGTCCTGGGGGACCCTCCGGTCCTCTCCTCCACTTTGTAACTGTCTGTGATGTTTATGAACCATGTTATGTCCAAGCCTAAGAAAAGTCAGCCCAGGGGCGCCTGGGTGGCTCAGTCGTTAAGCGTCTGCCTTCGGCTCAGGTCGTGATCCCAGGGTCCTGGGATCGAGCCCCGCATCGGGCTCCCTGCTCGGCGGGAAGCCTGCTTCTCCCTCTGCCACTCCCCCTGCTTGTGTTCCCTCTCTCGCTGTGTCTCTCTCTTCAAATAAATAAATAAAATCTTTTAAAAAAAAAAAAGAAAAGAAAAGTCAGCCCTGCGGGCTAAACCTTTCCACTGCCCTTGAGGTCACAGAACGGGAGCACACTGACATGTGATGTGACCTCAGAGGTCACCCCATCCAACCCTCCACCTCATTGTCTGAGCCACTAAAGCATTCCACATATCACGAGGGGCGAAGGCAACAGGAGGGACCACAGGGGTGTTAGAGGGAAGGAGATGTTAGAAGAGGGAGGGGATCTTGGCTAGGTGCTGAGGGGGTGTGTGTCTCCAAGGGCCAGCACAGTGCCCAGAAGATAGTAGAGGGTCAATGAGTGTCTTTTCAAATGATCTGAGTGAAGGGGGTTATGAGAGGGCCAGGCTAGATTTAGACAGTTGTGCCACAGGACAAGCCCGGACTTTGGCCAGACAGGCCTGAGTTTTCATCCCAGCTCTGCCACTTGCTCTCAGCAGGGCCTTACCAGAGATTAACTTAACTGCTTTCAAGTGTTCTCATCTGTAAAATGGACAGAAGACATGCCAGGGTTGTGAACGTGTGAATACATCTAACTCTTGGTTCGTCCTAGGTGATGTTCTTTAAATCTCAGTCTATAAAGGCATCGCTAGAAGATCTTGGACAATTCACTTTTGTACTCCCAGATTCACTTTCCCACCTGTGAAGCAGGGAAAGAAACTCCCTTCTACTGAGGACATATAGTATGTACTAGTCACTTTCACATGCATTATTTCACTTAATCCTCACAACAATTCCACGAGACAGGTAGTACGATTGCCATTTTGAAGATGAGAAAAGAGCTTTGGAGATAATTTGGCCGAATTCACATAGCTATTAAGTGACAGAGCCACGGTTTGGACTGACTGGGTTCTAATCAGCCCCAAAGTTCTACACTGTCTCTATACCTCTAAGGGAGGTCAGTGCTACCATATTTCAGCACCCAGCTCAGTGTTAAGTACACAGTGGGTCTTCAGCAAATACTCCATTGTTATACTCTAGGTACATGTCATATCTCTCTGAATGGATGATGAGCTCCTCAGGGACAGGGAATAATTAATTTTTGTCTCCCTATTGCTGAGCATGGCACCTGGCACAAAGCAAAGGCTATAAGGAATGAATGAATATATGGTTGAATAGAAAATAAATTAAATCCTCAGTTACAGATGGCAGCCGAATGTGCAGGACTGGAAAACCTGGCCATCTGAAAATAGTTTTAGAATTACAGGTTGAGGGGCGCCTGGGTGGCTCAGTCGTTAAGCGTCTGCCTTCGGCTCAGGTCATGGTCCCGGGGTCCCGGGATCGAGCCCCCGCATCAGGCTCCCTGCTCTGCGGGAAGCCTGCTTCTCCCTCTCCCACTCCCCCTGCTTGTGGTTCCCTCTCTCGCTGTGTTTTTCTCTGTCAAATAAGTAAATTAAAAAAATTTAAAAAAAAGAATTACAGGTTGAGCAGTCTAGAAAAAGTGATTATCTATAATTGTCAGTGGCATATGTCAAGTTGATTTCACCTCTTTATCTCTTTGGTCCTAGTCAGAAATCAGGGCAATCATTTATCATCCTCTTCATTTGACAGTTATAAAGACAGGCTCAGAGAGGTTTCTTTGGCAGAATGTCCTTTCCCACCCAGAGGGTATGCAGCCTCTGGTCATATACCTCCAGGAACAGGAAAATCACTGTCTACTGAGATGGCCCACTCCATTTTTGCCGATACCTATTTCCCAGAGCAGGCACAGGCTCGGGTCCTATTTTCTGGGTGAGGCCTTTGGAGACGGCTAGGAACTGAGACCCACTGCCCTCTCAGCACCATTCTTGGTTCCAGGAATGTCAACACTGGCCTATCCACCCCCTTTCTTGAACAGGCAGGGAAACTGAGGTCCTTTGGGTGGGGATTCACCCAAATTACACTTCTATTAATCTATACTGAGCTGGCTTCTGCTGTGGCATTATGACATTGCATGCAGCTCTGATTCCTTGGTCCTCTGCTTTAGCTCAGGAGTAGAGTAGATCCCCAGTACCCACCCCCAGCCTGGCACAGCTAAGTGCTCAGTAAGGGGTAGCTGAAAGAATGACTAAATATGAGGAGGAAGAAAGGGTTGAGCCTCAGCTAGGCTGGGATTGACTTGGGGTGTAGCATGAGGTGAGGAGTAAGACCTGGGGCTGAGGTCTGGGTGTAGGGATAGACCATGTTTGGAGTCAAGGTGGGTTGCCTTGAGGACTCGGGGGGGGGGTTGGGGCTGGTGATGGATATTGACTGGGGAGTGAGTAAAGTCAGGGATGAGGTCAGGCTAATATTAGGATGGGGACCCTGGTGAGCTCTTGGATTAGGGTAGAGTTTGGGTTTCCTGTAATGTGGGAGATGGGAGTATTTTGTCAGGGAGAGGGTTGGTGTGTAATGTGGGGCTGGGTTCAGGGTGGCAGAGGATGACACTGGGAGTAGGGATGGACTGAAGTTTCTCCAGTGGAGTTGGGGGTGAGGTTCAAGTTTGGATCTGAATAATGGTTCAGGTCAGGATGGGGGAAAGGGTTACAGAGGGAGTTGGCTTGGTGAGAGCAAAGGTCAGTATTGGGCCTGAAGGGCTAAAGGGCGGGTGCGGGTCGATGCTGATGCTGGGGTGGGCACGTGGGTGAGGACTGAGGGTTTTGCACGCGCTGGACTGAGGGTGCGGTGAGGGGCTAAGACTGGAGTGGGGTTCTAGCTAGGGTTAGCGCCACGGCCGGTACCTGAGCCACCACATGTAGCTGTGCTCGTAGGGGAAGAAGCTGTGCGGGTCGTCGCAGCAGTACTTGTGGTCGCGGAAGCCGCAGCAGAAGACGGCGGCCGCCTCGCCCCCGGGCCGCGGGCAGCTGAAGCCACGCACCACCTCCTGCTCTGCGCTCACGTAGCTCGTGCAAGCGTCGCTCATCGCGCCCCGCGCCGGGCCCGCCGCCACCTCGGGCCGCCAGACGGCCGGGCGAGCGAGGAACGGACGGAGACAGAACTAAGCCGGAGAAAGAGACTGAGGGAGAGAAAAAGCAGAGAGGAGCAGCGCGACAGAGGGACGCGGCGAGAGGCGCGGAGACGCAGCAGTTAGAGACCTAGAGTCCCTGAGGACCGGGAAAGGCGACCAGGTACGCGGACCGGGCGCGGCGGGAGGGCATGTGGAGGAGGAGGAGGAAAGAGAGGAGGAGGAGAGCGGAGGAGCGGTGGGAGTGGAGAGTGGCGCGAAGGCGGGGGGTGGGGGGCAGCGGGCGCCGGAGCGCGAGCGCGAGGCGGGGGGACCGGATGGGAGGGCGACCCGCGGAGCCGAAAGGAGGGAGCTACCCGGCGGAGCCTCCTGGGCGCGAGTCTGTCCTGCGCTTCCCCCACCCGTCTCACCGCGTTCCCAGTTTATGCACGAGGGTGCTGAGTGCGCAGAGAGACTACAAGACATGTCCGAGGTGGCAGGGCGGGAATCGAAGCCACCGCCGCGGATTCCACAGCTGCCCTTGAGCACCCTCCTGGTGCTCGGCGCTGTGCTCGACGCCGGCAGTCTCAGGGCCGGCCCAGGCTCGTGCGGGACACAAGCGGCCAGCCGGCGACCACACCGCAGGGTCAGGTATGGGATGATTAGTACACTACTTCACTTAGCCTTCACACCAACCCAGAGGGCCAGGGATTTTCAAACCCATTTTATAAATGAGAGCTAAGTGCCAGAGAGGTCATTTCCCCCAGTCCTCAAGTCCGTGGGATTTTAACCTGGGTCTGTCTAGTCCCCAAGCCCTTGTTCTTTCTGGGGTTCTCACTGTGCCTCTTTTCCAGTGGACTTTTTTTTTTTTTTTTAAGATTTTATTTATTTGAGAGAGAGCGCGCGCGCGCCGTGCGCGCGCGCACACACGAGCCGGAGGGGGGAGGGTGGGAAGGGGCAGAGGGAAAAGGAGACTCACCGTTGTGTAGGGAGTGGGGGGAGGGGGGAGAAGCAGACGGGAGGAGGGGCTGGACCCCAGGTACCTGGGATCATGACCTGAGAGGAGGCAGGTGCTGAACCGACTGAGCCACCCAGGCGTCCTAAGATTTTATTTTTAAGTAACCTCCAACCCACAACCCTGAGATCAAGAGTCGTTCCCTCCATCAACTGAGCCAGGCAGGAATCCCTCCAGTGGAGTTTTAAACCTTTGGCTTCCTGGCCTGTCTGTCTCTTCCTTCCCTGAGCAGCTAACTCGTACTGACATATTCACACTCTTCTGTTCAGACTCCCTGCCACCCTGGCCTAGGACAAGGAGGCTACATGATCCCAAATGGAACCCCACCCCCCAGGAAGCAAAGCCGGCACACCTTTCCACTCTCAGAAATTATTTCCAGATCACAAGAGCAGTGTTCTCACTAGGGTTAGGGGATCACAGTCTGAAGGGGCCATATGTGGCCCTTAGAAATTGCCTGTCCTCTCAGGGTACAGTGGGGAAACTGAGGCTTTGAGAGGTACACAGCTTTCCCCAATTGCACTGATCCAGGACTAGAGACTCCTGAGCTTTAGTTATCCCACTTTTTAAAAAAATTTTTAAAGATTTTATTTATTCATTTGTGAGAGAGAGAGTGTGTGAGCAGGGGGAGAGGCAAAGGTAGAAGCAGGCTCCCTGCTAATCTAGGAGTCCAAGGTGGGGCTCCATCCCAGGAACCAGAGATCATGACCTGAGCTGAAGGCAGATGCATAACCATCTGAGCCACCCAGCTGCCCCTAGTTGTCCCATTTTATATCCCATTCAGCTAGTCACAGGGTATTGGGACTGAAAAAGACCTGTGGGACATGTAACCAATTAATCAGTCACAGCTAGCTCTAAAAAATAGTAATTAGGAATGCCAGGGTGTCTCAGTCGGTTGTCAGACTCTTGATCTCAGCTCAGGTTTTGATCTCAGGGTGGTGAGTTCAAGCCCCGTGTTGGGCTCCATGATGGGCGTGGAGCCTACTTAAAATAAATAAATAAATAAAAAAGAATAATTAAATGGAACAGAAAAAGTGCACTGCGGATAGTAAAGCTAAGTATTCTTTCATAAAATGCTTATTTCAGTTACATATGTATGTATGTATTATGGACCAGATCACAATGTAAAGTGCATTTCTTTTGAGTCAGGTCAAAAAGGTTTGAAAGCCACTGAATTTCTCATTGGACAGATGGGCAGGGGCTAGCTTAAGATGACAAGATCTTTAGCTCTTCTAATTTTTCACAGGAGTAGGTAGAGTAGGAAATAGCTATTGTGGTGCCTTGAGACTCCCCAGTTTCTCCATTCTTTGCTTTGGGTGTGTGTGGCATAAACATGGGCATCAGGCAATCTGGACTCAAACCCTAGCTCTCCCCCTTCCCCGATTTTTCTCTCTGTTTCAGGTTACCTTTCATCATTTGGCCAGCTTCTAAGATGCTAATGTGTGCCATGCTTTTGAGCTGAGCACTGGAGTCCCTGAGAGGGGTCAGATCTGGGTCTGCCCTTGAGAAACACACAGTATGGTGGAGGAGTCACAAGATGATCATAGGACAGGGCAGTGAAAGGGGAAATGTGGGGACGATGGCTGCAGAGTGGTCACTGTCTGAAGGAGAGAGGAAGAATTTTGAGGGGGTAGTGTCCTCAAGGGTCACTATAAGGTCAAATATGAAAATTGGAGGGAATTGTTACTGTCCCCCCGAAAACCTTTCTACTGAGCTGTGCACCTGGAGGCTGGATGGCATACCCTAATGAAGGTGCACTTTGGCCTCTTTACCAGATGGAAAGTAAAGGGGGCGGAGTGGAAATCCTGTGGAAAGGATAGAGGTCTCCTGGAGACAGGGTTTAGCTGGGAGGTAGAAAGCACTCTGCTCTGACTTTTGGGAAAATTGTGAAGCTGCCAGCAGTTTCCAGAACCCTTTCCCAGCCAAGAATTAATTTGTTCCTCCCAACAACCCTGTGGGGTGAGCCAAGCAGGGATGATTGTGCCCCTGAAAAATAACAAACCCAGTGTCACACAACAGTCGATGGCCCAGGCAGGAAGCACCCAGGTCTGTATAGCCAAGGGTTCCTTGGCGGTCTGATGAAGACTTATGGACCCCTATTCAGAAGAGTACTTCTTAACCACAAAAAGTAAATTACTTAGGATAACAAGAATACCAGTTATATAGAATCATTATCAAAATATTTTTAAAGATTTTATTTATTTATTTGAGAGAGACAGGGAGAGAGAGCACAAGCAGAGGGAGGGGCAGAGGGAGAGAGAGGGACAATCAGACTCCTTGCTGAGCACGCAGCCTGATGTGGGGCTTGATCCCAGGACCCCAAAATTATGACCTGAGCTGAAGTCAGGCATTTAACTGACTGAGCCACCCAGGCACCCCTCAAAATATTTTTTAAAAAATACTTATTTTATGGGACGCCTGGGTGACTCAGTCGGTTAAGTGTCTGCCTTCGGCTCAGGTCGTGATCCCAGGGTGCTGGGATCGAGCCCCACACTGGGCTCCTTGCTCAGCGGAGAGCCTGTGTCTCCCTCTCCCTCTGCTGCTCACCCTGCTTGTGTGCTCTCTCTGTCAAATAAATAAATAAAATCTTTAAAAGTATATTTATTTTATGAATGTTGTTTCTTAAACATTAAATAGCAAGATCTAGAGATTGGTCTATTAGCTATTGTAATTTTGAGGTGGTGAATGAGTGTAAACAGTATCTTCAAGATATTGCTATTGTAATATAATACGAAACTATGATTTCTATTGGTGACAGAGTCACAGGTACTGCTGAATAGTACTGTGATTTGTTGCTTACCTGCATGACAGAAAGAAATACTAAATTCCAATTACAGGTTAGTGAAAACAGGATGTAATTTTTACCCATTACAAGTTTATGGACCACCCCCCTGAACTCTAACCATGGAGCCCTTGAGCTCTGTGGAGCCTATGCTAAAATCCTCTAGCTCTTTTGGCCTAAATCCTACTCTAGTGCTTGTTCTTCTTGCAGGCACTTATTGTAACCCTACTAAATACCTGGTAGTTTCCCATCTTGTATGTCATATAGTCCTTGAAAACTTCCTTTGAGATAGGTGTTATTCTTCCCATCTTGCAAAGTAACTGAGACTCAGGTAGGTTAAGTGATTTACCCAAACCCACACAGCCAGTAACTGATCAGAGTCCTGTACCACCAACTCCTTCCTCCCCAACTGAGGTCCGGGGACCAGAGTCTCCAATACCACAAGGGAAAGAAACTATAGGAGGGAGGGGTGAGCAGGGAGAACTCACATTTATGGATAACACTGTAATCTCAAGATTGTGTTCTGTGCTTTTCATCCACTCTTTTTAAAACCCACTACAACCCTATGCAGTATTACTCTCCCTGCTTTTAATTTTTTAGAAGATTTATTTATTTATTTGAGAGAGAGAGAGAGCACACGCAGGGGGAGGGGCAGAGGGAGAGGGAGAGAATCCTCAAGCAGACCCCTCGCTGAGAGCAGAGCCTGAGGAGGGGCTGAACCCAGGACCCTGATATCATGACCTGAGCCAAAATCAAGAGTCTGAAGCTCAACCAGTGGAGCCACCCAGACACCCCTACATGTGATAAAATTTTAAATAGAAATCGGGGCGCCTGGGTGGCTCAGTCGGTTAAGCGGCTGCCTTCAGCTCAGGTCATGATCCCAGGGTCCTGGGATCGAGCCCCATGTCAGGCTCCCTGCTCGGTGAAGAGCCTGCTTCTTCCTCTCCCTCTCCCTGCTGTTCTGCCTACTTGTGCTCTCTCTCTCTGTCAAATAAATAAAATCCTTAAAAAAAAAAAAAAGAAATCATTATACTGCATGTATTCTTCTGGAACCTATTTTTTTTTCACTCAATCTTATGTTAGTGAGCTTTGTACTGATGTATATGCTCAATCTCGTTCATCCATGTTTGCTGCCTTGTAGTTTTCCATTTAGATTCCTTTCAGTTTCTTTTATTGCTATACAGTGATGCCTCTCTTGAGGTTTTTTTCCTTTTTTTAAAATCAATTTTATTGAGGTATATTTTATAAACAATAAAACATACCCATTTTAAGTGTATAGCTTGGTGAGTTTGACAAATATATACATTCATTTTACCCCCACCACAGTTGACATACGACACATTTCCATCTCCCATTGCCATCCCTTGTGCCCCCTTACACCCCCATCTTTGCCTTAGACACCACTGCTCTGCTCTCTGTCCCTG